GTCTTTCTCTCTCTCTCTCTCTCTCTCTCTCTCTCTCTCTCTCTCTGTCTCTTGTTCATTGCAGATACATCACTTTTATTTTCAATGAATTTTTATTTTCTTTTAAGAAAAGAAAGATTCGGATGATTCAAGCTCGCGCCCGTGACATGATTCGAGCTCATTCTCTTTTTAACTTTTGTTCCCGCTTTGAGCGCAATCCGATATTTCTCAAAGACATATTCTCTTAAAAATTTTTTCGCAGAAAGAATTATCACAAGGATAAGAGACGATGCATTTTTAGTCTCATTTTTCGGAAGCATGGTATTATTTTTCTGTCACTTTTTTTGTCTTTGGGTACCCCCTCGTGTACGCTTTGTTTCAGCGTTTCTTTCCGCTTACAAGTTACCGTGTATCCTTATATAGAGATAGCTACATCTCCCTTTTTTATTCTCCGGAGAGACATGAGAGAGGTTCGTTTGTTAAGTGTTTGGGAAGAAGAATTGCTCTGAAAAATTGAGGACGACGTAAGCAGATTGGATGCTACATCATGGTGACCCTAGCGAATAAATTAGGACGCTGTTTGGAGGTATGCAAAGGCAAAGGGTAGTTTGCTCGGGGCTGTTTTCGATACTTTCATGGATCCAGCTAGTGACACGGACGAAATCACAGGATCATTGGCACAAAGCGCGGGAAAGTTTTCACATAGTCTAGGATTCTCATCGTATCCACGTAGTATCGGTGGCTTTATGGTCAATCGACTGCCAAAGCGTATTGATGTGTATATGGATGCGCTGACCAATTGAGTCCTCTAGATGCTTTGACGCTAGAGGCTAGAGAGATAATGCTCGCCAACAAGCCACTTCACTCGCTCCATCGTTTATTGCTTTTTATAAAAGAGAAAATTTTAATTAAGTCCCTCTACGCCCTCGCATTTAAACTAGAAACGAGTTCTCTAAAAAAGTTTTTCCAAAAAAATTTTTTGTTAAAATTAAGTACGTGATATGTATATATGAATTTTTTATTTATAGAATTATATTTCAGAACTTTCAGATTTCAAATAATAATTCATGTTTATCGCTGGCGAGAAATACCGATCTCAAAATTCTTGCGTGCGTATACGCGATATATTCATAAACTTATGATGTATATAAGTAAATTCAATTTAACTACTATATAATAATTAGGATAATCTTTCGAACAATAGCTCGAGAGAACACGTACATACGCACAGTTTAATTATTTATCGGTCGTCGAAAGCATTCCTGAAATACTTTTCGACAATATCTAGAGAAAATTTAATGCTCGCGTTATTCAAGGATATTCAAGAATTTAAAAATTATCAGCTGTAATAACTCAAGCACGCGATAACATCGATTTAGCATAAAAATTTTCAATTTCTAGTATTTTCCCTTGGATTCCGAGAATTTTTGTATTTTATGATTCACGGATCAGAATCCAGAAATCTCGTATTTAATAGTAAATGCTTATCCTCTAGAATCTCGTCGGTTCCGAGATTTCAGTATCGGTACGTATCCAAATCTTAATTAC